AGAACAGCCCAGTATGGACCCATATCTATCCACCAGTACAGACCAGTACAGCAGCACACAGCCCAGCATGGCCCAGTACAGCCCAGAACAGCCCAGTATGGACCCATATCTATCCACCAGTACAGACCAGTACAGCAGCACACAGCCCAGCATGGCCCAGTACAACCCAGAACAGCCCAGTACGGCTCCACACACCCCAGTATGGCCCAGTCCAGACCAGTATCTGCTGCTCATACTCTGGAGCATCCATTACCCATCCATGGTCTAATGAGGCCCAGCACGACCCAGTATGACCCAGTATGGCCCAGTACCTTCCAGCACAGCCCAGTATGGCCCAATACAACCCAGTATAGCCCAATGGGAGCCTGTACAGACTGCACAGCCCAGCATGGACCAGTACAAACCAATACAGCCCAGTAAAAGCCAGTACAGGCCATCACAGCCCAGTATGGCCAAGGATGGCCCAGTATGACCCAGTATGGCCCAGTATGATCCAGTACAGCCCAGTATGATCCAGCACAGCCCAGTATGATCCAGCACAACCCAGTAACACTCAGTATGTCCCAGTGTGGCCCCGTAGAACCCGGCATGGCCCAGTATGGACGAGCAGAGGAGTTCATGGCCAAGTATGGACCAGTACAGACCAGTATGGGGCAGCACAGCCCAGTCCAGACCCAGTCCAGACCAGTATGGTCCAGCACAACCCAGTAAGACTTGGCATATCCCAGTACAGGCCCAGTACATCCCAGTATAGTCCACTACATCCCAGTACAGCCCAACAGCCCAGTGTGGCCCAGTACAGCCCAATACATCCCAGTACAGCCCAGCACGGCCCAGTGTGGCCCAGTACACACTACCACAGACATGTCACAACCCAGTACAGACCAGTATGTACCAACACAGACCAAATACAGACCCAGGACAGCCCAGCCCAGTATGGCCCAGTATGTTCCAGCATGGCCCAGTACAGGCCACTGCACGACAGCACAGCCCAGTATGACCCAGTACATCCCAATATAGCCCAGCACAGCCCAGTATGGCCCAGTACATCCCAGTACAGGACAACACAGCCCAGTAAGGCCCAGTACAAGCCAATATAGCCCCAGCACCGCCCAGTCCAGCCCTGTCTGGCCCAGCACAGCCCAGTATGGCCCAGTCCATCCCAGCACAGCCCAGTATGGCCCAGTCCACCCCAGTACAGCCCAGCA